ATCGTGCGCCGAGCAGAAGGTTCACGCCGCAAGAAAATGGCTCGATCTCAAGATTCGGTTTTGAAGTACATGATGAAGATTATGGAAGTTTGCAAAGCTAAAGGATTCGTCTACGGAATCGTACCGGAGAAAGGTAAACCGGTAACCGGTTCTTCAGACAGTTTAAGACGTTGGTGGAAAGAAAACGTTCAATTCGACCAAACCGCTCCAAACGCTGTTTCTGATTACTTAACATTAGCGGCTGCACAGTTAATCTCTTCAAGCGAATCTCTTGACCCGAATTCGTATATCCACATGCTTCACGAGCTACAAGACACGACTTTAGGGTCTTTGTTATCGGCTTTGATGCAACACTGCGTGCCTCCGCAACGGCGGTTTCCGTTGGAGAAAGGTTTGGCTCCGCCGTGGTGGCCGACCGGAACAGAGTTATGGTGGGGAGAGCAAGGAGCGGCTGCGTTCGATCACGGTCCGCCTCCGTACCGTAAACCGCACGATCTTAGAAAAGCTTGGAAAGTTAGCGTTTTAGCGGCTGTGATCAAACACATGTCGCCGAATATGGAGAGAGTGAGAAGGCTCGCGAGGCAGTCCAAGTGTTTGCAAGATAAGATGATGGCTAAAGAGACTGATACTTGGTCTCGTGTGTTGAACCAAGAAGAAGCTCTTCTCAAACGACTCAAGATTTCGGACTACGAAGAGGAGGAGGAGGATCAAGAACCGGAAAGATTTGTGTCTTTTGATCAAGAATCTTTGCTAAACGACTGTTTTCTTGTAGCGCAAGATCAAGAACCGGGGAGATTGATGAGGAAAGACAAAAGGGTTGATCCAGAATTTTCGATGAACGACTGTTTTCGTGTAGCGCAAGATCAAGAACAGAGGAAAGGGAAAAGGGTTGATCAAGAATCATCGTTTAATGCTTTTTTTTTTGTAGATCGGAATCAAGAGGACGAACAGTTTGGTAACAAGAGAAAAGGTGAGTTTGTGGAGAAAGAAGCGATGTTATCTAATGTATACACTTGTGAAAACTCGAGTTGTCCTTCGAGTGATGTGAGTTTAGGATTTATGGACAAGAACTTGAGGACCGGCCACGAGATTGAGTGTCTCTACGGGACACAAGAACCGATAAACCAGAGTAGTGGCGGATCGGATGGGTTTGTTCAGTCGATGACTACGAGTGATGATGATTACGGCCCGAGCTCGAAAGCAGAGGACGCTACAGATTATCATAATCAAGAAGGAAACTGGCTAGATTATCTCTGGTTCGAGAGGTTACATGATTTGAATTGTTCTAATCAAGGATTCGAAGATCAAACAACCGCGGTGGATTTAAACCAATTACCAGACCATTCTGACTCGAATCAGACCATGAACGAGGAAGATTTCTCGTTATGGGACATGGGTTGTGAAGACAAAGATATTTATATGTCTCCTCAAGATTGAAAAAAAATTCTCAACTTTGGAATATTTTCTCTAGTTACAATGTATTAAAAACAGAGTTAAGAGGAAAAAGCAGAGCAAAAAAAA